CATTATGAAAGTCAATTTAGAAGCTCCTCCAAAAACTAACAAGAGACATATTATATGACCCAGCTGCACCATTTGTGGGTACACAGACCTGAAATATTGTCAGCACTGTAGAGATCCTTGCACATTCACAGCTATTTCTGTACTATTCATGATCATCACAGACACACACACACACACACACACACACACACACACACACACACACACACACACACAGACACAGACAGAGCCTAGATGCCCAAACACACACAACAGAAATTCTCTGGAAGGAAATGAAATCATAGTATCTGCAAGAAACTGGATGTACTGGAGATCATTATGTTAAGTGAAATACACCCGACTCAGAAAGACAAATAAGATGTTTTCTCTCATACGTGGTCTTTAGATTTAACTTTCTGTGTGTACATATGGGTTGTATGTGTATAAGAAAGTAAAAAGGGACCCTGTTAGAGGAAAATGACAAAGAAGGGTAGTGGTGGAAGGTAATGGAATACATGTGACATAAAGACATGAGAGAGGACAATTTCGAGGGAGGGAAGGAACAGCAGATGAGTAAGTATAGATGAAATGCTATAACAAAACTCACTAATATGTATGCTAATTTAAATAATTAATAGAAAGGGACAATGAGCTGCCTCAAGTGGGTAAAGGTACTTTCTACCAGGCTTGACTATCTGAGTTCTATCTCTTGAACTCATGTAGAAATAAAGAGAAAACTAACTCTAGCCTCTTCTTTTGGGTACACACACATTTACATTAACTAAAAATAAAAAAGTAAATAGTTTTATTAATTACCTTGTCCTGAGGCTTACAAATCCACTGCGTTCTTCCATCTCTTTTTGAAAGTTCTACATATGACGTCTTATTTGTGACATGCTCCCTTAACAACTCTATTTATATGCTTTGCCTCTCTACTACATCCTAATTCATCGTATCTCATACTTTTTTGTTTTGCTTTGTTTAAGACAGTTTCTCTGTGTAGGCCTGGCTGTCCTAGAACTCATTCTGTAGACTAGACTGGCCTTGAACTCAGAGATCCATCCATTTGCCTCTGCCACCTGAGCCCTGGGATTCAAGGTGTGCACACCAACACCAGTTTCATTTCATACTTTTCCATCTTACCTATCTCCGATAGTATTTTCTACACGGTGCACAGGATTATTTATTTCACATTTGTATCCCAGTACAAGGAAATGTAAATCTGTGTTAACAATAGAAACGAATAATAGTAAGGTGGGGAAAAAATCAAGTAAGAATAAAGATAGAGGATGAGATCAAGTCACAGGATAAGGGTAAAACTGGTGTTTCAGACGCAAGCTGTAAGTGTGAACTAAGGCAGCACACAAATACAGAACTGAGAAATGGCAGAAATAACAAAAATCTGCTGACACTACCTTGAGCAATCTTATAGCTTCACAACAGGACTAGCAGGTTTTAAAAACAAACTCACTTGTAATTTTTGAAATGGCTGAGACAATCTGGAAGGCTACACCCATGCTTACAACTTCATTTATTCTCCCTGAGGCTGAGTCATGCTCTATTACCACAACAAGCACATGCAATCATGCAGCTAAGCTTCTTGACTGAAAATCATACAAGCTGATTTGGCCTTGTTAGGTGATTTGACAAAGAACAGTTGATACATGTGCTTGGATATGGCTGGTAGTAAGTAGAAACTCAATTTATCAGAGAATATCACATAAATACTAATATGAGACATCCCCAAAGCCTTGAGGGACTGCTGCAAAAGAGCAGGGCAGAAAGACCCTAAGAGCCAGGAACTGGGGAGGACTGGAAAAAAATTGTCTTTTGGACATGACAGGACTAATGATATCTAATGACTGTCATCTGACAAACTACCTCATCAGGACCCAGCCCAATGAACTCATAGCTGCTGTGTTTGCTCTGAATAAAACCTGCACAAGATCAAGCCAATCTACATTCCAACAAGAGGTAGGGAGGGGATCACAAGTCCACATAACTACCTGGGGAGTCAAAGACAGTTGAAGGCTTCTGGGGGAGAGTCCGTTCATTAAGGGCATGGCCTATAGTAGAGCAACCATGCTCCGTCGAAGGGGCTCACACTCATGAATGAATGAATATACATATATATACATATATATATGTATATGAAGCATAAAAGATTAAGTGGGTTATTTTAAAAAAGGGGAGAGGAACAAGAATTTGAATGGGTGAGGAGTTGGGGGAAGGAATGGAAGATATATACGATCAAAATATATTGTATAAATTCTGAAAGAAAAAGTATTCTATTAAAAATGTGCTTGGTTCTCTGTGGATAGCTTACCGTCACATGTCCTGACTTTCAGTTTAATGCTATGCAGTGTGGCTACCTTGATGAAATGGAGTGATGCTCCTGGCAGATTGTTCATCTCCCCTCAATATGGTGTTATGCTTTTTCAATGCATCCTTTAGATTATTGATTGGCCATTTTGGTAAAGACACACTCTGATACTTTTCTTGATTATATACTGAAAAAACCTAACTTTTGCTGAGTTGTATCTTTAAAGCAGACATAATATAGTAGCTGTGTAGAATGAATGTTAAGATAGAGATCTGAATTCAAGTCCTAGATCTGCCACTTAAAGACAAAACATAATAACTCCTCATGTTCCAACCAATAGTCACCCTCTCGTACACACACACACACACACACACACACACACACACACACACACACACACACGAAACCAAGAAAAAAAAAACCTAGGGAGATATAGAATAGTTTGTCTATCAGATGCAGGGCCCTAGGTTTAATCCTCAATTCTGAGAAAAGAGAGGCAGAAACTCCAAGCTAATAAGTACAATGATTATATTAAATCATTACTGCCATCAAACCAAATACAAAAGAGCTGAAGGCTATGATGTAGGTTAAAACTATCTAAGACTGGGATGCACATAAAGTACTATAAAAGTGATATTTGGCCTGGGCTCCGATGAGGGAGCTTGTCAGGTGACAATCATTAGATAATTTAGGTAGTTATAAAAGAAGGAAATGTGCTTAGGATTTACCCTGATAGTAAGCGCACCCTACCTAGTACTACTACATCAAACTTGAGCAATTAATGTCTCTGAATCATTCTAAAGTTCAGACACTTATAGAAATCACTTAGTAAATTCCAGTTGGCTTTACAGAACACACCAAAGTATTAGCATCAGTGGGAAAAATTTGATGCCTCTCCAGATGCTACTGAGAATCCTCATATAAAGCTTATACATAAGTAATGACTATTATTAGTGATTACTCTGCTGCTAAAAATGATGTAGGGAGAAAAACAGACCACTAGCTTATTCAGAGGGAAAAAGTCTACACAGTGGTGCTGTGGTGAAAAACCAAAGATGGCAGATGATCCTTGGTTTGTTCCAGTCTTCCAGTAAATCGAATGCTACTAAAATTGGGGTAGTGAAATTAAATTATGTTGCTATTATTTAAACACAACACACATGAAGCGGAATGTCCTTCTCTTTATTAGCATAAATTAATTGTCCAAAATAATGCAAAAACCAATTTTTGAGTTAAGGCTCAAAGGTCTTCAGTGTCTTCAACTCCAGAGGCACCGGCGGTTTCCTATTCTGTTCTCGAGTGAAACCAAAGAATTACTAAGAAACATTATTTCCTGGTAGTGTGATTCAGGAGACTGGGGAAAAAAGGAAAAATGCCCAGAGCAGAATGCCCAAGCAATAAGGAAGCTTTGCAGAGTGCCACAATAGCCAATAAACAGGACACTCTCGATGTTATAGGTCCCAATACCAAGGGGGGCCAGGAGCAGTGAGTGTAACACCTGCCAGAGATCAGAGCCATACAAAGAACAGCTAAGGAGGGATCGTTTGGCTTCCACTACGCAGAGCACCTCCCAGCTCGCGCAGTATTGTCTCTCTTCTCAAAACGACCCTAGACCCAGCACCCGCCCACAAATGCCCCTCAGCAGCACAGCGATTCTCCCAATCCCACGTCTGCAGGTGGGACCGGCTGCGCCTACTTACTGAGCTGTTCTCCGCCCGACGTCGTACTGGGTTCCCGACCTCCAGCGCCTCCAACCCCGGATGCTCCGGGCATCCCAGGCGCCCCCATCCCTGGCGGGGTCCCACTCTGCCTCTCGAAGTTGCCAGGGTTGGAGAAGTAGTCGCGTAGCCGCGGTAGCTCGCGGCCGCTCTCCAACAGCTCTGTGTGTAGCTCCAGGGCTGTCAGCAGGTATTGATCGCGCAAAAGCTGGGCCGCGATGGCATCGATGGACAATCGCGCAGGGGTCTCCCCGCTGCCCCCCAGGGCCGCCGGAGCGGCGGGCGCCTCCACAGGGAGCCCTGGTCGCGCGCCGCTCCCCAGGGCCACGGGGTCCTGTGGCGACAGCGAGCCCGCAGAGCCAGGATCTAAGCCGACCCCGGCACCCAGCCGAAGTCCAGCCCGCCGCTCCCCGGTGGCCGCTACCTCGTCGTCGTCCTCATCGGAATCGCTGAGGAATGGATTTACGCCGCCACCGCTGCCACCACCTCCGGGCGCCATCGCCGCCATCTTACTGTGTCAGGAGTGTGGGTGCTTCTCTGCCCGGCCCGACAGGCCGCAGGCCGAATCCCCGTCAGGTCCCGGGAGCCACTGGGCACTCAGACAGCCCGGGCGGACCGCGTCCCTTCTTCTCGCCTAGAGGCTAGGGCGGACTAGGAGGCAGGAGGCCGGGGATGCAGCAGCACCTACCGCCTGAGCCGCTGCTGCACCCGCAGCGGGCTCGGCAGGCGTCTTCCTGGTCTCTACTCTCGCGAGATCAGGTTTGTGTCCCGTCCTCGCCCCGCCCCGTCCCCGCCTCAGCCCCACCCACTTTAGGCCTAGGAGTCGGAAGATTGAAGGGCCCGCTCCGGGACTCAAACGTAAAGCCACGCCCACGGCCCCTCGCGGATTGGCTGGAGTTACTGGGATGCAGGCCCAGGGAGTTATCGCGAGAGCCGCGGAGGCCTGGGCTTGCTGGGGGCGTTCCCTCGAGGTGCGGAGGTGGAGGTGGTGAGGGGTTCGGGGTGGCTGTGCTTTGAGAGGGCTGAGGGACCTTTCCCGGGACCATTCATAGCCCGGCTCCTGACTTCGTGCTGAGGCGGCCCCGTTCCCGAAATCGGGCCTGAGCCGGAGAAGCCCCAGGTAAAGTCCCGGGGACCCTTGCTCCTGAGGTGTGGCCGCGCCATCCCGGTGGCCTCGCGCCCGCAGGTGGCCTCGCGCCCACCCGTCGGTGATCTGGCGCCCGCAGGTGGCCTCCTGCCTGCAGCTCCCTTCATGCTTCTTCTTCTTCTTCTTCTTTTTTTTTTTTTTTTTTTTTTTTTTTTGCCTCTGTTTGCTGTCTCCGCCCAGGTAGCGAGTGCCTTGGGCCATGCCTAGAATGTGGCATGTGGCTTCTTTGCTCTTCCGTACTTGGAGGTCTAGCGACGGCAGGGACTCCTTGCGGTTAAGGGAGGGAACCCCGTCGGTCCCCAGAGGGGACCTTGAAAGCTGCAGGATGCAGATAGAGCCTGGAAGGAAACTGCAGCCCTGAGTTTCGAGTTGCCTTTGCACTCATCTGTGAACTGCCTGGGCTTGGATGACAAGCTAAGTGCTCCGCAAGCCCTTGGAGCTAACAGTTTGCACCATAGGAACGTTTTCTGCTATTAAAGCGCTGTCTCACTACTAGACGACTGTAAACTTTAGTCTGGACAGCTTCGATGACCTGGGCAAGTCCGTCCCAGTAGGCACCAACATCACTCATCTTTTGTCCAGAACTATTTTTTTTTACACCATCTCCTGAAACTTTTCTAAGTTCATTTAGGCTAGAATCAAGGTTTTTGTTGTGGAGCTTAACGACTTAAAACAAATTGCACGCTGTAGAGAGACTTGATTTCCTTTTTGAAACGTTTATACATATCTACAGACCTAAGTTCGGAAGATCGTTTGTCTGTCGTGTTATTCCTTGATAAGGCTGAGGTGATAAGGGGATGTTTCCCTGCCGTTAGTATAGTATTGGACTACTAGTCCGATAGCTTCCGCTTTGTTACACACAAATTGCCACTTTTTCTTTGCTTTACACTTCTTTCCATACTATAAACAGCTCCCAAGCAGACAATAAAGTTAATACGCAGCAGTGCTGACTACCTGCTTACTGAAGCACTGAAGTGTCTCCTTTAGCTTTGTGGAAAATAAAAATAGAGCATTGTTATATGACCTTAGGTCCGGTACTGGTTTACATGTAAAGTATGCTAGATTGTAAGTGTAGACTTTTACTAAAGTTTAATCAGTATCAATAAACTAAAATTTCATTTGAACTATGCTTTGCGAGTTTTTTGTTTGGCCATCATTATTGTTGTTTTAGTTTGGGTTTTCTTAGAAGCTTTTAAAATACTTTTACATGTTATAAGAAGTTGGGGGGGAGGAGGAATATGGGGGTTGGGGTGGATGGTTTAAGTTGTGGATAGGGAGATGGGGAGAAAGTTAACCCAAATTGTAAAAGACTATAAGGAACCTTGCTACACTGTAAGATAATTGAAAAAATAGCTTTAGTAGTAAGGGTTTTGTTATTGTTTAAATAAAACTTTAGCTTCCAATTCTTTGGGTAGATACTGTTCTGTGCTATTTATTGGTGAATCTGAAAAAAAAGATCTTCAGTATCATGGAAATATTATAAAATGGCCAGTATTTATTGTGTTTCTCATTTCTTAGCATAAGGGATGACCAGTCCTGACTTTGAGATCAACAAAGAGATTAAAACCAGAACCAAACTTTGGAATGGAGGATTAATGAATGGCAGGGGAAAGACATGAGCAGAAATGCATGGCTTGCCGGGCGTTGGTGGCGCACACCTTTAATCCCAGTACTTGGGAGGCAGAGGCAGGCGGATCTCTGTGAGTTCAAGGCCAGCCTGGTCTACAAGAGCTAGTTTCAGGACAGCCTCCAAAGCCACAGAGAAACCCTGTCTTGAAAAACCAAAAAAAAAAAAAAAAAAGAAATGCATGGCTTATGTACACTTTTTCCTTCTTTGTAATGAAGAAGTTTTGAAAGCTACATTCAGGGTTCCTGAGGAGAACTGCAGTTGATATGATAGGAAGAGCCTGTACACATTATTTATTGTGTATGGAAATGTTTGAGCCTCAGCATCACTTGCATTCATCTGCCCAGAGGCATAATGAAAGCAAATAGAATTGTGAATGCTCTTGTCACTATGCCTAGTAGCTGGTTGGCAGCCGATGTTAGTATGGTCTCTTGTTAACTAATGGAATATTGGATACTGAGGACATTTGGCAGGTTAAAAAAATAAACAAGTATCAATGACTAAAGGAGCCTGGAAAAGCAATTGAGTCAGTAGGACTAAAAGAGGCAGCAGCTTTAATTTGGGTGCAAATTGAAAATAGCTTTACAATTTTGCCTCTGAGTCTAAAGTTGAATAAGTTCTTCCGTGTCTGACTTGCTATACACATCTGTAGTTACTATTTCTAGTTTCCTAGTCTGTAACTGGGGTTTGTTTATCTATCTAACTGCATATTCTTAGCAAATCAACTGACCAGTCTTCCCATAGGGTAAGTTTGCCTCTCTGCATTGTGTATTAATAGCTTTAATGCACACACTGGGATATTAAAAATTTCTGACCTCTACTTATAATTTATTAATAGTTAATGGGAATTTTCTTTCTTCATTGGAAGACTAGCCCGTATCAAAGCCTTCAGGCTGACATCTGAGTAAGGATAGTCATTGACGTTTGTCTCTTAGCAATAAAAAATATAAAAAATATAAAAAAACAGTAATCATTTATGTGTTAAAATTGTTTGACGATTTAGTAGTCTTAAATAACCACACCTAACAGTGCAAATGCAAAGTTTGGTTGATTTAATGTTTGATAGAATCTATTACTTTATTAGATTTAGTTTATGGTGTTAAAAATCCCACAGATGTAAACTGGATTTTTATGGGCAAATGAATATGTGTGCTTTAAATTTTAAAAGCTACACATTTATTTTGAAGGTTTCCAAACAATTCAACTATGCCAATGAGGTTTTCCGTTTCAATAAATGTGAAGAAAATGGTTCCCTTTAAAGAAAAATGGCAGTATTGCTGGAGATAAGTGTGATTGTATATAATAAACACTATATGAGTATTCATACTTTCAAATCACTGCGGCTTCATGTATAATAAATTTTTTAAACAAAATGTGGGCTTTTTTTTGTGTTTGTTTTGAAAATACCTTTTAAGCTTCACAGGTTTTACCCAGGAAACCCAAACAGAAAAGCAAAGCGACCTCTAGTGGTTATCGTACATATTGTTAGTGAAATTTACTCCAAGATGATTTATTCAGCAAACATTTGAGTCTGTATAGAACTGTGATGGATGCAAATGATGACATTTCCTGCTGTCCTTGAATTATCATGAATTGACAAAAACAGACATTAAATCATCAAAGAAATAGTTGTGCACTGAGCTCACAAGTCTATCACTGATCAAAATCTAAGCCCTATATATACATTTCATTTATCACATGGCTGCTATTGATAGTCAAAACTGGAGAAAAAGAACTTCAGTGTTTTTTAACTTGGGATTTGTTAGCAGAGATGCATTTACAGGACAAGATGTGATAACGGTATGTGATATATGGGAAGAGTTTGTTTTTAAGGGAAGTGGTAATCTATGTTCAAGGAAAAATGAATAGTTGGGACCAGCAAGATGGCACAGTACCTAACAGCATTACCACTGAACCTGCAGGCCAGTGTATGATTACATGGTTGCCTTCTGATCCCCACATTTGTACCTCAGCATGCATGTGCATATGCATATGATTGCACACAGATAAAAATATAATAAAGCATTTTGAATGTTAATATCTGTTTTTTTTAAATAAAGGTCCTTACCCCCACAAAAGTGGAGAGAAGATACATTTATTTATTTATTTATTTTGAGGCAGGGTTTCTCTGTGTAGCCTTGGTTGTCCTGGAACACACTCTGTAGACTAGGCTGATCTCAAATGCACAGAAATCCATCTGCCACTGCCTCCTCAGTGCTGGGATTAAAGGTCTGGGATTAAAGGTGTGTACCACCACTGCCCAGTGAAAAGATATATATATCTTTTCACTGTTTTGGAGGCTGTCAGTCCAGCCCGGCCTCGAACTCACAGAGATCCTCCTGCCTCTGCCTCCCAAGTGGGAAAAGATAATTTTTAAAGAAACTGTTGACAAGTATTTGCTTAGAACCAGTGTTCTCATCCTTCCTAATGCTGCAACAACCCTTTAATATAGTCCCTTATGTTGTGGTGACCCCCAACCATAAAATTATTTTCATTGCTACTTCATGACTGTAATTTTGCTACTGTTACAAATCATGATGTAAATATCTGTGTTTTCCAATGGTCTTAGGTTAACCCTGTGAAAGAGTCATTTGACCCCCAAAGGGGTCACGACCCATAGGTTGAGAACTGCTGGCTTACAAGGTAGTGGAATCCTGGCTAATTTTTTTGTATTTCAATTATCATTACTCAGAACACCATTGTTAGCTGCGCAGTGGTGGCACACACCTTTAATCCCAGCACTCGGGAGACACAGTCAGGTTGATCTCTGTGAGTCTGAGACCAGCTTGGCGTACAAGAGCTAGTTTCAGGACAGCCTCCAAAGCCACAGATAAACCCTGGCTAGAAAAACCAAAAAGACAAAACAAAACAACAACAAAAAACCACAAACAAACAAACAAACCACCCTTGTCATGATGGTGCTCATTGTGTAGTTTAACAGTCATATAAACTAGGAAGAAACCATTGCATTGAGAGATTAGGTTGCAAAATTAATCCTTGTATATTTTGTTCACCCTAAATTCCCTTAGAATAAAACAAAGTATCTTCTAATTTGACCTTTGACCTTTTAGTTCATTTTATTTGTTTATTTGTTTGTCTTTGGTAAGCACATTTACTTGTTTCTTTTCTCTTTACAGGACACACTCCATTCTTGTGATTTTTGATTCTTCAGACCAGGAAGAATAAGATGTGTCTGTAGTTCTGATCATTCGTATTTTTCACTTCAAGGTTATTATATGTACCCAATATTGCTTCAAGTAAGAGAAATTTTAGTGGTGTATTTTCTTTCTTAATCTGTAGACGTATTTACCAACAAAAGCAAATGATAGACTGAATTGAAAACATTCCTATGGGCATTTTGATCTTTGAGGTTTAATGACACACTATCTTATAGTGTTAAACATTCTGTTGGTTTTCTCATCATTCAGCGTTTGTAAGATCATCAGATCTCTGATAGGGCTTCTTGGTGCTCTTTTCTAGGTACACACAATTTGTAGTTAATAAGTAAAACCCTTTTTGTTAATTTAGGGAAATAAAGTGTTTATTTAAGGAGTACAGATTTCCGAGGCATAAATGAAGTTTAACTTCTTGTGTGTCACTGAAAGATAGATGGAATGCGTATTTCTCACTCTGTTGCTACTCAAGAGAATTAGACAAACCCCTAAGCTGATTACCAAAGTGGAAAAAAATAACCAAACAAAAACCTCAAACCATTTGAAGGGGTTAAGTAATTTAATAAATTTAAATTCCAAGAGCAGGAACAGAGTTGTGGGGACAATCAAGAATGGCCTGAGTTATATTTTCTCTGTTATTTAGAATTTCCTGTGATTGATCCTAACTAATTAGGATCTTTTGTTCTGTGTTCCTTTGCTAATTTTTAATTATCTGGTAGTTAACTGGATTAATTAGTTTATTAGTCCTAATCAAACTTCTTTTTGCTTGGTGTACTTTAACATATGTTTTATTTCAGTATTATCCTGTTTAAGTGTTTATTGTTGCCACTATAAACAAGTCAAGTTGTAAGTTGTGTAGTGTCCTGACCCAGGGCCCTTGTATGTGAAGCCATTAGACGTGGAAGACAGATCCTCACCAGGTGTGTCCATTGTGACTTTGTTCTGTTTTGGCTTCTCTTGCAGATAGCTCATTCTGGACATGCTGCTGTTTTTTGCTTTGGGATTGCTTGTACATTTTGTTTTCTTTGCCTCCATCTTTGACATTTATTTTACATCTCCTTTGGTTCATGGAATGACTCCTCAGTTTACACCATTACCTCCTCCAGCCAAAAGATTAGTACTATTTGTTGCTGATGGCCTGAGAGCAGATGCTCTTTATGAATTAGATGAAGATGGAAACTCTAGAGCACCTTTTATTAGGTAAGGATCTCAGCAGGGTTAGGGGTGTGTCTCAGAAATGGTAGATTAAGTTTAAAATAGATTTATTATGAACTGATGAATATTTGCTGACAGTTGACAATCTTTTAAACTTTTTAAAATACTTTTTTTTTGAGACAAGGTCTCACTATGTAGACTGGCCTGGAACTTGCTATGCAGACCAGGCTGGCCACAAACTCAGAGATCAACCTGCTTCTGCCTCACAAGCCCTCCTCCATGCCTGACCTTTATTTTTTCCCCCTCAACTTAAAAAGTATATGAGTTTTTTCTTTCACACTCAGAACTGTAGTTATACATATTGTAGATTTTTTGGCTTTTTTTCTCCTAAAGAATTTGAAAATATGACAATGTAGTCTTTCTCCACCAACTACTATACTGCATGTGTTAAGAACAAAGACTGTTTTATATAGCTATATACTGTCCTCATATCAAACAAAATTTAACAGTATAATATTCTGCATGTCATTTTTTTCTACATAACCAAGCATATCTGATTTGTGGCTTGAAACAGTAGGGTGTAGTTTGTCTTTTATTTTTCTGGAATAAGGGAGTGTTTTCTTTTTCATATTACCTGAACTCTTTGATGCTGCTGTGGTAGGCAGTAAGTATATGATCCCGCTCAACTGGTTTTTGAGATATCTTTCCATCTTAAAATTAAGGTTTTGATTTGAGTCCTTGTATAAGAATCTTTCTTAAAGCCTTATGAGGCTTTTAATACTAGCATATGTTAATTGGTCTTCCCTTTTGTCTTTTAGGAATGTTATAATGCATGAAGGCAGCTGGGGAATATCTCACACACGTGTGCCAACAGAATCTCGGCCTGGCCATGTAGCCCTAATAGCTGGGTTTTATGAGGATGTCAGTGCAGTTGCCAAAGGTTGTATTCTGAAACAATTTTATCAAGTAAAATGCTTGCTATATAAACAATTTTCCTACCACAAAATCATGTTTTTAAAGATTTGATTTTGTGCGTGTGTGTTTGTTTATGCATCACATGTATGCCGGTGCCCATGGAGACTAGAAGAAGGTATTCAACTCCCTAGAACTAGGGTTACAGGTGGTTGCTGTAATTTTAAAAAAGCATATCCAGAGAGAAACCATGCAACAGAGTTCAGTTGGAGGGTTCTTTTTTATTAGTAGAAAAGTATCGTAAAAAGGGGAAAGGAGATTGGGGGAGACTCGCCTCTGGGGACAGGAGCAGTGGGAGAGTGGCAGGGTGGGGGAAGGAGGGAGGAAGGGAAAAAGAGAAGGGGGGGATGGGAGGTGGCCAGAGTCCTTTTAAAAGGGAATATTTTGAATAGGCACAGGTGCTCTTAGAGGCAGCAGCTGAGGGTGTATCTTATCAGAGCTCTAAATGCAGGCCAGTACAAACGCCTAAATACTAACAGTTGTGAGCCGCCCAGTGTTGGTGCTGGAAACCAAACCTAGGATATCTGGGTTTGTAAGAGCAGCAAGTGCTTTAACCTCTGAGCTATCTCTCAAGCCCTAAGATTGTGCTTTGAGATTCTTTGACAGGTCTTTGAGCATGTCTTACTCACATGAATACATCCTGGTATTGATTCTGGAATTAAACTTTAGTCTGTCATCATCCTGTTCTACAGAAAAAATATGTTTGTTAGACATTGTGATCAAGAATTTAAAAGTGTTGCCGGGCGGTGGTGGCGCACACCTTTAATCCCAGCACTCGGGAGGCAGAGGCAGGCAGATCTCTGTGAGTTCGAGGCCGGGCTGGACCGATAACCTCCAAAACAATACAGAGAAACCCTGTCTCATAAAAACCAAAAAAAAAAAAAAAAAAAAAGAATTTAAAAGTCTTAATAAATGAATTGTCTACCATTTATTTTAAGATAGGCTATAATATGCTAATAAAATCTGAGTTTTATGTGTTGTCATCAATACTATTTAAACATCGTTTTCTTACCATATTGTTTTCTTCATTACTCAAAGGATGGAAAGAAAATCCTGTAGAATTTGACTCTCTTTTTAATGAGAGCAAGTACACATGGAGCTGGGGGAGTCCAGATATCTTGCCTATGTTTGCCAAAGGTAAGGGATATTGATTGTATTTCCTCAAGTAGCAAATAAGTCAAAAATAAATGTTTTTTTATCCTTGCAGTATTGGAAACTGAACTCAGGGCCTCTTACATACTAGGCTTGTCTATTACTCAATTATACTCTATCCTGTAGATGGAGTTTCTGTCCCGCCTGGTCCCACAGCTGTTTAGTCCCAAATAAACACACAGAGACTTGTCGTTAATGTGAACCATTTGACTGATGTCTCAGGCTTATTATTTGGCTAGCTCTCTCTTAATTATTAACCCATAACTATTAATCTGTGTATTTCTATATGGCCTTATCTTATTGGAGAATGTCCAGTGTCCTATATTCCTGGTAGCTGCATGGCATTTCTCTTGATCCCTCTCTGCCTCCTCTCCCCAGAATTCTCCTCATCCGGTAGCCTTGCCTATACTTCCTGCCTACTACTGGCCAAGCAGTGTTTTATTCATCAACCAATAAGAGAAACATATACAGAAGGACATTCCCCTGTCACTATCCCTTAGTTTTTTTATTTTTTATGTAAAAACACAAAACAAACAAAAACTTCATTTAGTCAGGTGTAGTGGTGAATCCCAGCATTGTGGAAGCAGAGGCAAGTAGCTCTCACTGAGCCTGAGGCCAGCATGCCCTACATAGTGAGTTTCAGGCCAGCCAGAGCCATATATTCTGTGTTGTCAGGGTTGTAGCAAGTGCCTCTACCTGCTTAGCCATCTTGCTGGCTTTCTTTTTTTAAATTTTTGTATGTTGCTGTATTTAGTCATTTTTAGCGATTTTTATCACCTCTGAAGCCAGGAATGGGACCTACAGTGGATTGAACTGTCAGTTCAACAGACAAAATTTCTCCTTTGTTGTATTTTAAATATAGCTATATAACACTCTTAGTATTTTTGAATTCAATGAAATGATATATTCTATCATATAACAACCTTATAAACTTGAGCTCTAGTTTTCCTTTATATAAAATGCGTTGTAATATTGTATACCTTATAAGTTTGTTTTTAAAATTCAATGATTCATGTGTATCATAGATCAAAGTGCTTGATCTCTTTATGGGGACAGTGTTGGTGTCTGGCTCTTTATACTTAAATAATTGGTTAAAGAAGCCAGCAGATAGTTAAATAAGATTTTAAATATTCAAGCATTTATAATGGCTAATCTATTTATTGTGTCCTAATTTTGACACTTAATGTATATAATATAAATATGGCATTTAATGTATTGAAATGCCACATACTGTTCACTGCATCGACATTTGGATTTATTAAATTTATTAAATTTGTTTATGGGCACAAATCCACAAGTATTAAGTCATTTCTTGTTTAGAAAATTCATTTGTTTTAAAAAGTCAGCTGGTGAAGTTCATGTCACTAAATGATCTTTACTGGGAGCAAAGTGACAGATCATTTAATGAGAAGATTTTATAACATAGATAACATGGATATAAGTGGAACTACTGAAGCAAACTATGTGTTCAGAATTGTACATATGATGTTCATTAGACTGGTATTACACTAGACAGGTGTCATATGCTATTTATATATTTCATTCTTTAAGAAGCAGTGAGGGCTGATGAAGTTACTGTGGCTTACCAAATTAATCTTACTTCTAGCCACGTTGGTAGTACAGGACTGAAAGCTGTATTAGGACCAATAGGAATGTTTCATTATGTGTGGTAGGTAAATAACCAGCTCCTTCAATGTCTCCATTTGTGATGTGGTAAGAAGAATGGCTGAGCAGAGTCTTAGGGTCACTAGAATTGAGCTGATGTAGAATGTCATTACTTTATGCTATATCATCTTCATGACTTATATGAGCTTATCCACTCCAGGAATTGATGATAGATTCTTGATACAAATCTTAAAATTTTATATTTTTCCACCTATTTATTTGGCAATAAGCAGCATTTGACCTTCTTCCCTTAGTCCTTGCTTTTGAGTCAGGCTGACTTCAAACTTGTGATTTTTTTTGTCTCTATTTCCCTAGTGCTGGAATTACAGGCATACACTAGAGTTCCAGACTATTTATTTCCTTATGTTGAGACAGATACATATAATTTAAAGACAAGTGAAATGTTCTAGTTTGTTTTAGGAAGGACTATGCAAGCCATCTTCATTTATTTTATATTGTAACCTCTTGAGAGAACAGGTTTCAATGGAAATAAACTTGAGAACTTATTTTTATTTTATTGCATATTAGGATTTTGACTTTGATAAGTTAAATATGTTATTTTCTGGACAAAAAATATGTTGATGTATATCACATGATTCATGACACATAAAATAAGTGTTATTTCTTTCATAAAGCACTTTGTAATTAATTCTGCCTACTTGTAAAATTATTTAAGTAGAGCCAGGTATGCTGGGGCATGCCTGTAATCCTAGAACTCAGGAAGCTTAAGGAGAGGATCATTTTGAGGCCATGAGTTCAAGACTAGTTTGGATAATATAACAAGATTATCTCAAAGCAACAACAAAAATACTTTTGATCATTTCATGTTTTATGACAGCTAAAGGTTTTGGTTTTGTTTATTTTAATTGTGTATTTTCCTCTTTTTTCCTTTTAGGTGCTAGTGGTGACCATGTTTATACATATAGTTATGATGCTCAAATAGAGGATTTTGGTGCCCACGATGCCACAAAACTGGATACCTGGGTTTTTGATAAAGTTAAGGTGCGTGTTGTTTTGCTTTGTTTTGAAACAGGATCTTTTATGTAGACCAGGCTGGCCATAGTTTGGAACCTTCTTGCCTCAGTGTCATTAAGTCCTGTTTTACATGTGAGTACACCTGGGAAGGTATTTACTATGCAGTGGTTTATAACTAAATACACACTTATGTAAAGTCCTGGAAATTTATTTCTCAGTGAACTCATCTCAAGTTTAGTTTGCTGCGTGTCTGAACCTGAGCATTCGATGTTATACCATGCTATTTTAAAAAGAAATTAGATGTTCTACAATGACTAATAAAATTCTTTTTTGAAATAACGTTTAAAACTTTGTGTTTCTTAAGGTAAAATGAGCCCTAGATTAGGATCCACAAAAAGTTTCTTTCCATTTCTCATTTGATGAGTTACTGCAGGCAACTTTTAATTTTCTTATAACCTTGGAGCTTTTGTCTGTTAGTAGTGGGCCATGTGAGAGGTGGAGTATCTTGAAAATTCTGTTTCAGAGTAATACTTTTATAATAACTTTTATAAAGAAATTAGATTTAAAAAAAATTGGGGGCTGGACATACAATTCCGCAGCTAAGAGTGCCTGCTGGTATCGCAGATCCCCTATGTTTGCTCCTTAGCAATGACAACGAGCAGCTCACAACCACCGATAACTTCAGTTCCAAGGATCTGACACCATCTTCTGGCCTCCTCAGGCACTTGGTAAACGTACATATCATCACATACACATTAAAAAAGAAATCTCCTAAGAAGAAAGAAAAATCAGATAAGCTAGAACAGAGTAGCCAGCTAGCCTTTATTAAATGCCTACAAGCTTCTTTAAGTAGCAGAACTTTAAAAAACGCTTCAAACTGACTTGTTGAGGCACATGTTGAGCTCTACCTTATTAGCATTTCATAGCCTCCCAAATCATATGTCTGTGGTTAAAAGCTTTTGCTAGTTTTGGAAGAAACTATAAATTTTAACTCAAGTTAAGGAGAATACAAACGGAAGCTTAAGAGCAGTTTTATCCTTGAATAATTTCTGTTAATTATTCCACATACTTTTAAATACTTTATTTTTTTCAATGATACTCATCTTGTTGAAAGGTAGTACCTTTTAAATCTGTATACACTTATTTAAACAATAATGATACGTGTTATCATGATCTGTTTAAAATCATTTTAAAGCTCTCTCCTCAGGTACTTGCATACATTCTTATGAATGTGGGTCAGGGTGAATTATTTATCTCTGAAAATCTTATGGATCTAGTTTATTATTGTGATGTTAATATATTAAGTTCTGAACTTTACTTTGTTAAGTGGCATTTCTCTACCACAGGACACCCAAAACAGGTCCTAGTCATGGAAGAGGAAGTAGTTAGGAGTTCTCACAATCTTAGTAAGACATTATAGTTTTACTGAAATGACAGTGGGCAGGATGACGAAAAATGATCCATTTCTAAGTGTATTTAAATATAGTAAATGTTCTTGGACTGTTCCCACCAGTACTGTTGAAACTTTACTTCTTAACAAACTAGTTCATTTTTTTTTTAATTACAGTAGATCTGTGGTAAGAATGATATAAAATGAAGCCCTTTTTTATAATTATTTTCCTTATTATATCAGAATAGCTCAATGATTATTTGGGCAGAAATGTCTGAATTTCATGTTGCTGTGTCTTGATGACAAAATGAAACAATATAAAATGAATTAATTTCATTGATATTTATAAATTAACTAGTTTCCACCCCATTTGTTACATGCAGGACTTCTTTGATGCTGCAAGAAACAACCAGTCTTTATTCTCAAAAGTAAATGAAGAAAAAATCGTTTTTTTCTTACATTTATTAGGAATAGATACAAATGGACATGCTCACCGACCATCATCAAGGTAATTTTAATGATGTGTTCAATTGGAACTTGTGGGGAATAGCTTTTCTGTTTTGAAATTTTCTTTGTAATTATGACAACAGAACTAATAGTTTATGTAACATCTATCCTGTATAATGTTTTCAGTTATGTGATGTATAATTTTATAGTGGTTAAAATCACCTAACTTTGACCATAATGCACATTAAAATAAGTGAAATAGACTTGCACATAACAAAAGACATAGTTCCTTTGAGTGTTTATTTAATCAACATTGTATCTAGCAAACAATTGTAGAAAGTGTTGCTTATTACTTCTTTAGTGTTATTCTCAGCTTTGCAGACCATAAGAAAGAAGTAATCATTTAATTTTTTTCTTTATTTTGAATTGGTTTTATATTAACTATAATGTCTGCTGGTTTAATTACCAGCATGAATATCTCATATTTCCCTAGTTTAAGATGATGCACTGTTTTCATTAGTGGAATATGTTCCTATTAATCTATCTTTGTTCAACTATATGGGAAGCTTGAGTACAGTTTCTTCTCAACACTGCAGTAGATTTAAGTCACAAATACTTTATAAGTTGGGAATATTCTGTACTTTAAATAATGACACTTTCTTATTCAGATCACCAGAACGGTTCATAAGACTCAAACTTGAAAGTCTCCATTATCCTGTTTAGAATTTGAAAGTGTTTATTAAATACTTACTAATCAATATTTTCCTTTTAAAATGTTTCTGAAAACTATTTCAGGGTTTTAAAATTCATTAAAGGAAAAATATTTAGTCATACTAGGGACTCTGATTTTAAAATAGTAAAGATTAAATCTGAAAGTATTTCTTCAGTTCTTGACTATAAATTTAATGAGTTTGGGTTGAATAAATTTGGTTTCTCTAAAATAATTTAACTTATTCTTTTGTTTCTTTGTAAACAGGGAATATAAGGACAATATTAAGAAAGTTGATGATGGAGTGAAGGAAATTGTGTCAATATTCAAGCATTTTTATGGTGATGATGGGAAAACGGCATTTATTTTCACCTCTGACCATGGAATGACAGACTGGGGTTAGTCTGTCTTTCATTTCTACCTTAGTGAAAGTAGTGCAGATATAGCTTACAAATATTACTCTCATAAGATCAGGTGTTTGCAATACGCAAATGTCCAGCACGTAATCTTATGATTAAAATGATAAATAGTCTGACCTTTCTTTTCTTTAGTCTGACCTTCTAAAAAAGATCTTTCTGATTGTAAAAAGAACATAGTCTCATTTACAAGTGAAAAAGTAGGAAAAAAAACAAAACTCAAGTACTTTTCAATTTTCCCCACACCTTTCTATTAGAAAAGAAATTTTATCTGGAATCCCATACATGTGGAGGCAAAGGGAGTGATCAAAGTTAAGATGCATTACTGAGGACTGCCAGGACAACTGAGCTCCTGTGTTAGTTAAGTCCATGCTCCTGGTGAGATCCCCAAGGCAAATGTTGTTCTCAGAGAACGTTGTGATATAAAGGTGAAGTTTGAGCTCTTGAAGCACAAGATGAAATTCTAGTGAGCAGGGTTCCATTTTATAAAGTACTGCTCCATTTACCGTGAGGCTGGAAGAAAAGGATTTGTGTCAGTTATTTGTGCATAGCTGTGACCAAAGTACATGAGAGCAGCTTAAGAGGAAATATTTACTTTGGCTCACTGTTTTAGAGGATTCGTTGTGGTTGGCTGGCTTGGGCAGAACGCCATGTTTCTGGGGATGTTTGGCAGAGTATTCTTTACCCTGTAGTAGATGGGAAGCTTTGATCAGTTATGTATCACAGCAAGTATTGTCCCTCACTTTAAGATGCAGCTCCTTTGACTAAAGCCTACAAAAGCCCTAATATATGGATATCAGCATAGTTATTGAGAAGGCAATGTGACAGTCACATTATACCCATTTAGCAAAACAGCAGTAGTTTCCCCAGCCTTATGTGTATCAATTCTTTAAAACACAACATTTAGAGATTGTTTTGCATTCTCATCTGATGCTTTGTGATGTCTGTGCTGTAGGTTCCCATGGGGCTGGCCATCCTTCAGAGACTTTAACTCCTTTAGTCACCTGGGGAGCTGGAATCAAGTTTCCTGAGAAAGTATCAGCTCAGCAATCTGATGATGAATTTTTAAAAGGTACAAATATTTGTCTTTATAGTCACAAATGCCTGTGTATGTAGCATTTAATATACAACTAAAATTAAAGTAAGTCGACATTTAAAAAACAATGTGTTTTTATAAATCACTTCAAACTATTTTAAATCTCTCATTTTACTGATTGTGTCATTATCTTTGTCAAATGCAAATGCTCCAACTCAAGGAGTTGGTTAGTTTGCATTCTCTCCCTTTCTCTTTTTTCCTCAGAACTATTTGTTGAACATTCTGCAATAAACCACTCTCAGTAACTATTTTGGACTTTTTAGGAATTAGAAATTTCAATCTTTTTTATTATGTTAAAATTTGATTAGAAGGAAATAAGAATAAAACAAATAAGAAAATGTACAGTTTCTTAGAGGTAAATTATAAAATTAATTACAATTTTTCAACTCAAGCAAAAGATGTATTATTAATTATGAGATTGCAGAATCTACAAATATATGTCCCTTATATGAAAAGCTAGCTGTAGTACCAAGTTATTTCTCTCTAGACTCAGATGAAGACAGCACAGCATGTTTTCATGTTAGTCATGTTGCATTTTTCATAATGTTGTTTATATATTGTCAGTGCTAGCAGAGAATACCAGGCCAGGTCGTTGGCCTACAGTAAACTGTTATGATTCTTCCAGACTTATTTAAGCACAAATGAATAGAACTTAGAGAGCTTTTTTTTTACTGTGCTATCTTTGGAATAGTTCTTGTTTCCACAGATCTTTGTAACTAGCACAGGTTTGTCCCCCTCATGGTCCACATGTGGCCAATAATTGTTATGAACACTGCTTAATATAAAACCATAAGCTTACTAATAGGCTTATTTAAAAATTAAGTTTGTTTTTTGTTGTTGTTGCATATATTATTTATTTATTTATAATTCAATTGAACTATTCTTGAGCATGAACTTTGTAGAGGATGACATTGTATCCCAATGGCGTATAAAGCAGATGTATATATGCACTCATATAGATCTACCTCATGAAGCGAGTTTAAATACTAACTTAATATACTGTTTGAAAAAGTAGGGGCTAGTGATCGTAGTAGCATCACAGCTACAGCTTTAAATACTTTGCTAACCTCTGTCAACCCACAAAAGGGAGGGAGGTTATGTTGGCTGTTCTCCTATTAGTGGCTTGCCTTAGTAACTGAAGCACAGCTGTGGTGAGTAGTAATCTTGCTGGCAGTTGCCCTTAGGATTGTACTTTCCTCTTTGTTTCCTTGGATGTTTTGAACACTATATTTCCAAATGAACATGTTAAAAGCATAATAAATCACAGAAAATACTAAAGATTTACTTTTCAGTTTTTCTTTTTAAAAATTATGTAGAAATATCCCTCTGCTTTTTTCAATATCCTTTTTTTTCATACTTGGTTTAAGAGAGAGTTTCCAATACTTACCCTTTACATGGAGTGTCCAGCATGCCTGAAAATAAGTCGATTTGCTTTTGTTAAAAATCCTAACATCATGTTTTATATCTATGTCAGAATGGAAATTGGAAAACTGGAAGAGGCGAGATGTCAATCAGGTATCTATTTAAATTTAATTATGTTATTCCCTATAAAAATTTAGAGAACCATATGTAAAACTAGGTAGTTATAATAGTAGTAGTAACAGAATAATGACTACTTTTAGTGCAAGTGCTTTGGCCTAACTAATCTTCTTGTGCCAGTTAAAACAAAAAACTTGAGGTGGGTTGTTGAGATGGCCAAGTGGGCAAAGTGCTTGACCAATCCTGACCACCTGAGTTCAGTCCCCAGCACCTAAGACTGGCAGAAGGGAATTGACTCTACAAAGTTTTCCTTGGATCTCCACATGTATGCTGAGACATGCACGCTCCTCTCCCATCCTTCCACATACACGCAATAATAAGTAAATAATGTTTTAAACTCTCAATTGAAAATAAACTCCTTCTAGGGGTCTTAGGTAGGCAAAATTTCTTGTTAAGAAAGTAAGACCTAAATATAAATCCCTAGCACCCACATAAAATCCCTGCATGTCTTCCTGTGCCTGTAGCCTTAGCGTTGGGAGGTGAAGACCTGCAGATGCCAGGAACTTACTGACTAGTCAGTCTGCTCAGCAGACAGCAAATTTCTGGTCCAGTGAGAGACCCTATCTGAAAATATAAGATGGAGACCAATAGAAGATACCCTCAATTCCTCCTCTGACCTCCTGTATGTGTGGCATGCATTCCTCCAAATACAAGTGTATACACTATACCTTCCACCCCAAAGTCTGCTTCTAAGTAACACAGCGAGTTGTTATGAATACTGGGTGGTTTTGTGTGTCAACTTGACACAAGCTAGAGTCATCATAGACGAAAGAGCCTCAGCTGAGCAAATGCCTCCATGAGCTCCTGCTGTAAGGCATTTTCTCATTTAGTGATCAATAGGGGAGGACCCAGCCCATGGTGATTGGTGCCTTCCCTGGGCAAGGTGGTCCTGGGTTCTATAAGAAGGTGGTCTGAGAAAGCCATGGGAAGCAAGCCAGTAAGCAACTCCTTCCATGGCCTCTGCATCAGCTCCTGTCTCCAGAAACCTGCCCAGTTTGAGTTCTTGTCCTGTCTTTCATCAATGATGAACAGTGATGCTAAAATGTAAGCCAAATAAACCCTTGCTTCCGTACTTGCTTTTTGGTCATGGTGGTTTGTTGTAGCAATAGAAACCCTAACTATAATGCTATTGAAATTTACATGCTTATTACATTTTGTTTTGACTTCCTGTAATGGTTACACTGCTTACATTAAGAAATTCTTTCCTTTATCTAAGTTACTGTTTCTTTTATTAATATATATTTGACTTTTCACTGTATTTTAACCTAAAAACATCCTTGCTGATGCAATGGGAAAAGTGTGACAAGAGTATAAATTAATATAGCTATAGATATTTTGTTATAGGAGAATGTATGTATGTCTGAAGAAATTTAGACTGAGTATTATCTGTAAGTGCTAAGCATAGGGTGTTGAATACGTGCTACTTAGGCAGCTATCTTCACTATTTGTAGAGGGCTCGCCATCACTGGGATGCGATTGTGAAAGTATCAGGTAGCTTGTTTCTAGGCCATGTGGAAGGTGGAATTTTTAATAAGGAGGGTAAATCAAGGTCTGGGGATTCAGTTTCATGTTTATTCTTTGAAAATTTGTTTCTAGAAGCATAATAAAAATAATATTTTTCTTTTAGGATTATACCCAAGAAAACAAATATGTAACATGGGATGTATGTGTCTGGTAAACTCTGCTTAGCAAAGGTTTCCTAGGAAATGGAGAGTTGAGCTGAGATTGAAGAATAAGCAAGAGTAATGTTAGAAAAGACTGATGTTCAGATTCCAAGGGACCATAGGATGCCAGGCAGAAACAGTTAGGTACAGGTCTGGTAGATCATGATGTACTTTGGAGACTTAATCCCAGAAGCTCTTATGGAGGCGGGGAGGGAAAAGAGAGCATGTGTATGTGTGTGCATGCAAAAATTCTCTGGCTTCAGGATGAATAGATGAGATGAGAGGGAGAGAAAAGACTTGAGAAAGTGAACACCACTAGCTTTCTGGGAGGGGCATCAGTCTTACAAACTCTTACACTAAATGAGGAACAGTGAGGCACTTAAAAAGGAGCCCCATTGAAACAGAAGACTCAGTAACAGAGGGAGGCCTGGTAAGAGCAGCAGTTGAAGCTGCCCTTCTTTGCAGGTTATTATGTGCTAGGTACATTGTAAGTTTATTTAATCCTGCTATCACTTTGTAAGGGAGAAACATATATTTAACTGGTAAGGAAACTGAGTCATCAGGGAAGTCTAATAAAAACCTGCTGAAGCCAGTATTTGAAGCTCTCTTCCAACTTCTAAGTATCATACTACTTCACAAATTTTGAGGACTGGTAGAACACTGCCGATTAAATTTAGGAAAATAGAATCTGTTATTTCCCTTTTGGTGAGATGCCTTTGGGTGATAATGATCAGAGTACACTACAGTAGGCTGAGGAGTGGGTAGAGAAAGAAACAGAAACCTGACTCTGAGACAGTGGAACTGAAAAATACCCACAGTACCATTTGGGCTCTTCTTTCTTCACTGATTGGCCAGAGTTCCTTCTGAGGAGCTTATTCCTTCAGTGCTTGTGCACAGTTCTCCCAATGGTCTGCTACTACTCACACAACATAGTTAAGTTCTTAGCTAATAGGCAAGTACTTTTTGATTTTGTTTTGTTTTGATGACCTTTAATGTTTACTTTCCAAATTTAGTTTTTCATAAGTTCATATCTAGCAAATAGCACTTAAAGACACTGATATATAAAAATACATATAAATGTCTGAAGGTTTTTTATTATAATAAGTATGGTGATAGTCCAAATACAGTTGTATGTGAGAATGCACTTTTCTGGTTTATAAGTGCAGACAGGCTTACTAGACTTGAACTCTTCTATTTCTAGGCTGATATTGCACCACTGATGGCATCTCTTATTGGAGTTCCCATTCCTCTTAATTCTGTGGTAAGGAATAACACTTATTACCAATACTCCATCTAGAAATAAAATTTACTTTGCATGTGCCCCCTATAATCTTTATTTATATTTAAAACTGTATTCCTTCCTACTTATCTATATCTAAATAGGTAATACCTCATAATTGCATATATACTATATGACATGGAAGAAAGTTTGCTTTAAATGTTTTATTTCTTTAAAAATGCATCATATATACATATATATATATAAATAACCTTTTGATTATAAACAACAGAAACCAAGTCCTTTTAAAGGGGAAGTTATTGAAAATATATTGATGGTTCGCTGCATTCCATAGATCATATTTGAAAATAACCAGGAACCAAGAGGGCCCTGGCATGGCTGTGGAGCTCAAGGCATCAGCCCTCAGGTAGAATAAGATTATGCTCATAGTTGCTGCTTTTTGACTCTCAAGAACCAAATCTAGGTTGTTTGATTTGTCCACTGAGGAGGACAGGGCCTCTGATTACTGTTCCATCATATTACATCCAGTGGGGAAGACCCCCAGCAGGAAGCAGTAATGTTGTTAAGAATTGGTGAAATGGTGAAAACCAAAACATAAACTAAGAAGATAACTCCTCACAAGCAGCCATACTTACCTTGTTTTCAAAGTCAAATTTATGTTAAAAATGGAATATAAGTCAGAACTTTAAAAAAAATATCTTGACTGCCATACATGTTTGTAAGTGAATGTGTATATGAAAGGTAATTTTGCTTTAAAATTGAATAGAATATCCTCATGTGTTTTATATGTGTTGTATTTATACCTTTTTGGTTTTTTTTAAGTATTATAGCTGTGGCCATTATAGTGATTATTCTTTGTGTATAGCATACTTAATTCACTGAGCATATAGCAGTATGCCCAACATAGTTGTACTAGTCAGATTTCTTCCCATTGCTATAACAAATTTCCTAGATAATCAACTTAATAAAAAAAGTAGTGGGACCTGGGAAGAATAGAGGGGGTAAAGAGGAAGGGAGTTGGTCATGGGGGAACAGGAAGTTGAGGGGGTGGGGGTAAAATAGGCGGAAGAGGGAATCATAGGATCAAAGACAGATCAGGCACCAGAGTGACCTCGAGTGATCTAAAGGTATAACATCAATTGGCAAGCTAAGCAATAGTGGAAGGACCACCTCGAATGCCCATGCCTGATAATGAACTTGATGTCTATAACCATCTGGGAGCCTTCATCCTGTGACTGATGGAAGCAGAGGCAAACACACAACTAAGCACTGAACTGAACCCAAGGAACCCAGTGACAGAGAGAGAGGAGTGATGAGCAAATTGGCAAAGAATGGGCTGGCAAAACCAGCAGAGACAGCTGATCTGAACAGGGGAGTGCTCTTGGACCCCAGACTGACAGTGGGGAGGCCAGAATGGGACTGATCTGGACCCCCCCCAAATGTGAGTGTCAGTGAGAAGGCCTGGGCAACCTATGGGGCCCTGAGCTGTGGATCAGTGTCTATCCCTGGTATACAAACTGTCTTCATGTGCCTATAGCACAAAGAGAGATGCTCTCTCAGCCTGGACTCTTAGGGGAGTGCCTTGACCCTACCAAGAGTAAAATGATAGACTCTAGATATCCCCTATGTGGAAGGATTTGGCAATAGGGTGGGAGGGAGGGTAGAAGGGGAGTGCGGGAGGAGGGGAGGGAGAGGGAACTGGGATTGACATGTAAAACAAGCTATTTAAAATTAAAATAAAAAATGATAAAAAAAAAGTGAATCTAAAAAAAAAAGTTTATTTTTGGCTCATAGCCAATGGGGACACATTGTACAGGAGTATGTGGTAGACCAAAACCAAAACTGCTTGCCTTGTGACAAAGATACAAAAAGACCAAGATATCAGTCTTATAAAAGTGTCCCTAGTGACCAAATGACTACCCCAAAGTTTCTGTCACTTCCCATTAGGTCTTAACCTCTTCATTGTTCTGTTACTTTCCAGTAGCACCAGGCTGGGGACTAAGTCTTTACTCATGTGACCTTAAGGAACATTTAGAGTATATATCCCAGCATTCATCTGCTAGTGATAGATTTTTATTGGCTTAAATCAATCTCATTATTTTTGGTTTGTGAGAAAAATTTTAATTTTTTTCAGTTATAGTTTAAAAATTTTTGTCATTTAACCTAGTAATTTTATTTTGCTGTGCATTTTTTTGTTCTCTCTCTCTCTCTCTCTCTCTCTCTCTCTCTCTTTCTCTCTCTCTCTCTCTCTCTCTCTCTGTCTCCTTTCTTCCTCTCCTTTCTTCCTTTCCTTTTTTTTAATTTTAGGGGTGTGTGTGTGTGTGTGTGTGTGTGTGTGTGTGTGTGTGTGTGTGTGTGTGCCAGCCATATGTGTTTACCTGTTCAGAAATGTAATCTACTCAGTGTGGATGATGGACATTGAGTCCTTGTCCTCTGGAAGAGTAGCAAATGCCCTTAACCACTTACCTTTTTCTTTTTTAAAAATAAATTTTATTTAAATTAGAAACAATATTATTTTACATATCAATCCCAGTTCCCTCTCCTTCCCATCCTCCTCTCCAATCTCCCCCCCCCATGCCATCCCCTATCTACTCCCCAGGGAGGGTGACATCTTCCATGAGGGATCATCAAAATCTGCCAAATCATTTGGTGCAGGGCCTAGGCCCTCCCCTGTGTATCTAGGCTGAAGAGTATCCCTCCATGGGCTCCTGAAGTCTGTTAGTGCACTAGGGATACATCCTGGTTCCACTGCCAGAAGCGCCATAGACTGCCCAGTGCTCCTTGCTGACACCCACGTTCAGGGGCTGGTTTGGTTCTATGTTGGTCCACCAACTGTCAAACTGCGGTCCATGAGTTCCCACTTTCCCAGGTCATTTGTTTCTGTGGGTTTTCCTAGCGTGGTCTTGACCCCTTTGTTCATCACTCCACCCTCTTTACAACTGGATTCCAGGAGTTTGGCTCAGTGCTTAGCTGTGATCTCTGCTTCTGCTTCCATCAGCTATTGTGTGAAGGCTCTAGGATGGCATTTAAGGTATTCATCATTCTCATTATAGGGGAAGGGCATTTAAGGTAGCCTCTCCACTATTGCTTAGGTTCCTAGTTGGGGTCATCCTTGTGGATCTCTGTACAATTCCCTAGTGCCACATTTCTCTTTAAACCTATAGTGACTCCCACTATTGATGTGTCTCTTTTCTTGCTCTCCTCTGTTCCTCTCCCCACTCAATCCCCTCACCACTTACCTTTTTCTTAACCACTCATTTTTTTTTTTTATGTTATGAATGTCTGGGTTAGTACTTAACATGTGTTTGTTTACCACATGAAGGCCTGGTTCTTTCAGAAAATACTAGAGGGTGTCACAGCCCTTGTAACTGGAAGTAAAAGTGGTCACAAGCCACCATGTGGGGGCTGGGAATTGAACTCTCAGGCTCTCTGGAAGAGCTGTCAGTGCTCTAACCACTGGTCCATTGTGCCGTCCCTCCTGCCCCACAGCAAGTGCTCTTAATTGCTGAGTCATCTCTCTAGCTCCTTGTTTTCTCTGTTGAAAAAGAGTCTCACTCTAGCTCAGTCTGGCCAGGAATGTGCCATCCACACCTTGGCCTCCAAAGTGCTAGATTACAGGTTGTGCTTGTTTTATAGTCAGAACACCATAGTCTTTATCAGTACTTGTTATGTTTTGTGTTTTAGGGAACACTTCCTGTGGATTATCTTAACAACACTCGTCTCTTCAAAGCAGAGAACATGCTTACCAATGCAGTACAGATTCTTGAGCAGTTCAAGGTGAAAAACAATGAACTATACTATAAAATTTAAGTGTGTTAAGTAAAATATTTGATTTTATATTTTAATGAATAATTTGCTATAACTTATTACCTTGGGTTTTGAATATTTGCCTAGTATCATAAATGAATGAAAAAGGAAACAACGAGGAAAGGAAAGGACATGACTGGTCCTAGGTATGGTGAAGGAGAAGGTTTATTGTAGATGTGTGGGAGAGCACAGTCAGAGGCAGGGACATCTGGGAGAGTACAGAGTGGGTTTGACCCTGACCAATGTGAGCGGAGGGTGGGGAAGAGGGTGAAAAGGGGAACCAGGCACAGTAGTCAAGAGGGCAAAGTACTAAAGGGGTAGGTAACCCACATGGCTGGTTTGTATAGGGAAGAACCTCTGGGGGAAGGCCAGCCCAGTTCTCTGTGCTGAAAGCTCAGGGTGAGCACTGGGTATGCCAACTATACCCTGTAACAGGTATGGGCTGAGGAATGCTGGGAGAACCTGGAGGCCAGGACTACTTGGATATGTTAAATAGGCACCTCAGCCATTGTCCTAGCTTTGAAATTAAGTTTTTTATTTCTGAAGTACAGGTTTTATGGGTCAGTTAGAGGGCAAAGAATTTCCTTTGAAGAGTGTCACCGTAAGATTGTCTTATATACTTACAAAGACCACAAGTTAAGATCTTATTTATTGGAGTATGCCCAAAAGAATTAGACTGGAGATCACAGCATTACAGAGATGATGTAACTTTGCCTTGCTTCATTTTCAAAGAGTTAAGGAAGAATCGTTGTAATTATATTACAGTACACTATTTTTGCAAGATTGATGTACTTAATTCTCAGCTTTCTGAGACAGTAAAGTATTATTTAATTTTTTGTTATTTATGAAACAATACAATATAATAACATACAATCCCATTTATTTCCAAGGAAATTAATCATCCCTGAAGAATCATTTTAATTGGTATCTATATTTCAAAATGAAATTCATTATTTTTTTTCATTTATAATATAAGATTGTCATGCTTGGTTCCCAGGTGAAGATGACTCAGAAAAAAGAAGTTACTTTGCCATTTTTGTTTACACCATTTAAGTAAGTCTTAAATGTTTTTTTAATAACCTGAAGGAAAAAATTTGCTTGAGTTTGATGTCAATAAGGTAGATTATATATAAGCATTGTCATTTTTGTGTATAGAAAAACAGATGCCAAACTGAAGTCCTCTTCTGTTACTTTTGCTAATGAGCCAAATGTTGTATACCTCTGAAAGGCTATGGAGGATGTGGGCCCTGTAACAGCTTCATAGAAGGATGACCTGGTTAGTTCACTTTACATATGATAATGTTAGCTCTTTAGTTAGACATGGGTCCTTAAATATCAGATCTGGGTAGATATTGAAGATTTTGGAGCCACACTGTGAAGATGGTGATAGTGTGCCCAAATTCTGAACACTGAAATCACCAAGAGACCCAATCCGATGTAAAAGCAAAGAATCTTTAATAAATCAACGAGTTAACTGTATTAACTCGGGTCCTCTGTCCGTTTGACAGGGCAGGTGGAACAAGAAGGACCTTAGGGACTGCAGGGCAGGGAATTTATTGGGGTAGAGCTAGGGGAGTGTCTGGGGTCCACAACAGTCTCAGAATTGGAACAAAAACTGGCTTGGGTGACCTGTCCTGTGCTGACTGGTCAACTGGTTTCTATGGCCTATAGGCCGTCCCAGGGCAGTTGCTATGCTCTGTACACCACTGTTAGTATAAAGCACATTCAGAGCCCACCAGCTAACTTCTAATTGATTCCTTGACACATGGAGGGTATCTGGCCTTCTAGTAACTGCGGCGACATTAGGAAAGGTCAGAAGTTCAGCACATGTTGCTGAGTCAGAGGCCTACATCTTGTTGGGTCTTTTCTCCAGCTTGTCATGGCTGCCAAAGAAGGGAGCTGGGTGAGGTTCTAGTCCCTTCAGTAGAAACTGTTCAATATGTAGAAGGCTCTGGGGAGAGTGTAACAGTGACAGGGAAAGACTAGGTGTGATATTTGGAAAAACATTGGCTTCCACCAGTGGCCAAATATGGAGTCACTTTGATGGGCACCAGATTTCATTGTTCTTTATAACTGATTGTATGTGTGGGCTCAGCAGGTTTTCTTAGCCTCTTAGAGGTTCATATTCAGAAGTATTTTACTTCTGATAAAAAATACATTGAGGTTATAGGAGTTTTAGGAATGTAACTAAATTTCATTGGAATTATCATCATCATTACCTCACTGGAATTGCCTTTGGAAAGTTATATAATATAAATGTAGTCTTCATAAACCAGAAAGGTGTAAATAATATGATAGTATGCTTGTTTTGTGTGTGTGTGAGTGTATGTGTACATACATACATATACATATATATTAATGTATATACATATGGAACTTGAAGATTCAATTTTTCATTCCAATTTTTAAGGAGATATGCTTTCAAGAAGTGAATATTTTTAGACAAGTGGGTCTACAGGTCAAGCTGGTCACTTTTGAGTAGTTGGTTAGGCTGAATCCCCAGATGACACAAATACAGCATTGGCTGTGAATATGTATAGCAACCTGTATGTATGTAAGTGTTTGTGTTTGTATATAGTATTTGTCTTTTTCAAGAAAGACTTATTGACTGAACACTTTGTTTATTTTAATTGTTATCTTGACAGTCTAGAATCAGCTGGGAAGAGCCTCTTAACGAGGGACTAGCTGGATCTGGCTGGCCAGTGGGCATTTAGGTGAGGTATTAACTTGATTATTTTCATGGGAATAGCTATATCCACTCACTGTGGTTAGTGCCATTCCCTAGGCAGGATATTCTGAAGCTTGGACCTACCTCTCTAGAAAGGCAGGTCAAGAATAGTCTTGAAGGGTATAAGTGTACTTTTGCCTTCTTCTACTTGGCTTAGTGTCTAATGCTAAGTTTTACTTTGATATTCAACTTTGGCCCGAATATTGCTATCTATATTTAGAGATATTACTTGATGTCATGTGGGGGCTTGGCCCAACCAGTGGCTCATCTGCTTGGAGCAAAGTGATGAGAGCTGTCTCCAAACCTGTTAGGTAAAAATCACTTAACTTGAAGTCTTGGTGTCACCAGAAAAGCCAAAAATACAAATGACTCTTTAAGATACATAATTCAAGGAATAGATCCTAAATGTGTTAAAAATCCTCATAAATGTTTAAGAAACTGTTAACATTCATAAAACTAATGCTCACTTTTCAAAATGAAAAAAAAACATAGGATGGTATTGAAAGAAGGAAGGAGGGGCTGGAGAGATGGTTCAACAGTTGGCAGTATGTTCAGCTCCTGCAGAGGACCTGCATCATGTCCCCAGCACACACCAGACAGCTGTCAACTGCTTTTAACTCCAGGTTCAGGACATCGAATACACTTTTCTGGCTACCATGGACACTTGCACACATATAGTGCACAAAAACTCCTGCAGGCTTACACACACAATAAATATTTCTTAAAGGGAGAAAAAATGGAACTAAAACTTTAAAGATAAATTGAACAAGAGGCAATTCTTCCAAATTAGATAGTGAGCGGAGCTGCAGTGAAGGGGATGAATGTAAGCAGCAGAGCCAGGGGAAGCTGGACAGATTAACAGCAGGATTGTGTACAGGAAAACCTACTCTTCATCTGTCCTCCGCTTGACAGAACACCTCGGGTGTGGCATGATCTTAAACGGTTGCTGGGAGTGCGAGAAAAGTGATTCTACATTGTTACATGGATCAGATCTTAATGGAATAGATGAGAAAAATCTAATCATAGCACAAAGCTTTACTAGTCGACGAACAACATTTAAATTGTCATATAGTGTAAATACTGGTTTTCAGCTTTTAGTGTCAATACTTAGGCAAAGCAGGAAAGAATTAATTATAATTACAGAATAGGATGTAAATCTCACCACCCTTGACAATATATTAGTATAGTTAACAGTTGGAAGGCAGAGGGGAAAGGAAACATAAAATGGTGGTCATATTGACCTCATAAACTATTACATAGAAGATTCCTGAGTGACTAAAAGGTTTATGTAGTAGATGATGGCAGTACCTGATGTGTAACAAATAACAAGCAGTGAGGTGACTAGGCTGAGGAATGAGGAGGTCTAGTGGCAGCAGCAGGTCAAAAGAGAATGTGTCGGGTGATGAGTCACTACTTAAGGTTAAGAATGTACATGGAGGAAGCTATTAGATTAGTTTGAAGTAAACAGATCCAGATGTTTTGTCCCTGTGGATTGGTGAACTGAGAAGCAGAAGGTTATTTTTTCATTATCATAATGCAGTTCTGTTTGTTTGACATTTTAAAGAAATTTTGTAGAGTGTATTTTGATCATACACTGCCTCTCTCCCACACCTCTCAGATTCTCCTCAACTCCTTACCCACACAACTTCATGTTCTTTCTCTTTCTTAAACAACAAACCAGCAAACCCCTCCTCCAATCCCAGTCTTAAGAATTTTTATTGCTGTAAAGAGACACCATGACCATGGCAAGGAAAGCATTTAATTAGGACTGGCTTACAGTTTCAGAGGTTTAGTTCATTATTGTCATGGTGGTGTGTAGGTAGGCATGGTGCTGGAGAAGGAGCTAAGACTTCTGTATCTTGATCTGTAGGTTGCAGAAGCAATTGTGTGCCACAGTGGGCATAGCTTGAGCATAGAAGACCTCAAAGCCCTCCCTCACAGTGACACACTTCCTTCAACAAAGCCACACCTCCTAATAGTGCCACTCTTTATAGGCCAAACATTTAAATATGAGTCTATGGGGGCCTTACCTATTCAAACCATTACACCACCAAAATTCAAAACCAACATCCCCCTCAACAAGACAAAAAAATAGCAAAGCAGAACAAAAAGCACACACAGTCATCAAGTGGCATTTCATTTTGTTTTCTTGATTTTAAAAAATTACATGCATTTATTGCTCAAGGTCATGAGTTTGAAACTGTCTGAGCAGCAGCATATTGAGGCTGTCACCTAAAGAAATTTGAAAAACAGACTTTGTAATCCTTGATACTAACGAAATGCAGTAGGAGAAAGGATACCATTCAGTGCAAAAGTAAAACAGAATATAATGGAAAATGTGCATTGTAGAAAAAAGCTACAAAATTTACTTTAGGTCATAATGAAATATAAATAAATATTGTTAAAATATCATCAAATACTAACGCTATCCTAAAATTTACTCAATATAGAATTATAATTTTCCATGTGGTTCAAGTTGTTTCTCAAATTTTATATAGAGATTTTTCAAGAATCGCTTAACTAATCCTAATGAAGAACAAGATAATGACATTCTTTACTAGAAATGCATTCTAAAGATACATATAAAACAACATTGGTGCACGTATAACATATAATTATGCATATTGACTTGGCAATACCCAAAGAGTTGATACCTATGCAATAATTGGTTTGATTACAGATGGCATTTAAGATGGGGGGAAGGGGGAAGGCTTACATATAGCACATTACCTTTGCACTGGAAAAAATATGGCCAGATCCTGCTTATGCCAGTCATAAATTAAATTCCTCATTGATTGAAAATGAAATAAAATGCTTCTTAAAAAGCAAAAGTGTGACTCCCATAAACAAAACAAAAGTCATAAGGGAAAGACAATTTGAATATATCAGAATTAAATGTTGTATTCGATAAAATAGACCATAGAGATTGTTATTTTCAGATTTGGGGAAAATACTTACAGACTGTGTAACAAGCCTTATAATTTATGCTCTAGGGAGAATGTTGTACATCAGGTCAGGGAAATGTTTCAGACAAGAGTGCTTACTGTTTAAATCTGAGGACCCTATGTTAAAAAACCAGAGAGAGAGAGAGAGAGAGAGAGAGAGAGAGAGAGAGAGAGAGAGAGAGACACACAGAGACATGTTATGATCAGAGACAAAGAGAGCACACAGAGACAGAGACAGAGAGACAGAGACAGAGACAGAGAGAGAGACAGTAGATTGATGTATATAGATCAGAGAGAGACAGTAGATGACAGTAGAGATGATCAGTAGAGACATGAGAGAGAGAGACAGAGAGACTGAGATGACAGAGAGAGAGAGACAC